CCATATTAGTGATCCAGGGTCCATGGATGGAACCATCATGATATCATATCTTGGAACTTGATCCTCTCTTGCTATACTCAAAATGGAAGAAGTGAAGAGTCTTTTGAGATGTTTTGGGAGATGAGGCTAGATGGATCTTGTCAGTGAGACACCATCACCTTTAGCACTCTATATTATATTTTGTCTCAATAGGGTGCACTATTCCATCCTTTGTTGTAGAGAGGATGTTGTATTGGGATATATTCTCAAACACAAAGCCCACCTTTTTTTTACAATGCAATGCATGTTTATGAAGGTCTAAGATGACTTTTACTTGGCTTACAAAATGGGTAACTACCCTAACCCTAAGTTTTAATTTAGTAAATATGGAATGTGAATTGGATTTAGGACACTCTCTACATTCTATAAATATGTCTATTAGATAGATCTAAACACTTACCATAAATAAGATATAGAGCAATATGATATGTGCTAGTAAACTGACATGAAACATATTATTTACTTGAGACAACTCATCATTACAAAATTCAACTTATAGGATACATCACCAACCCAATTCAACACTTAATAGGGACTAATATATCTTTGTAATAGCTTCTAGGACAAAGATCCCTTAAGATTTAAGTTTCGTAAAGATAATCAAATTTAGTTTCCCACTTGATAGGTTATGTTGATCTTTATCATGACGATATTTATTTTGAGCATTGCCCATTACCTCAGTTGTGCACCACATAAGTCTAAATAGCTACAACCAATTACTCATGACTATTTGAAAATGAGTAAGCATATAAAATTATTAACATACTAAATTGTATATAACAAATACAAATAATATTCTAGTTATCTTATATTTCTATATTACCATGCAAAAATTTATGGATAAATTTTTAGAATATATTTAATATTTTAAATTCAAACATATAAATATTATAACAAGAACTTTTATTTATTTATGGCTAAATTTTTGTTTATTACTTTATGTTTAATAAGTTTAAAAGTAAATTAACAGAAAATAAAATAAGTACTAGTGTGTTACTTTTTCATTGGATCTTAGATAAATATATTTTTTAAGAAAAGAAAATTTATCTTGAATTTTATATTCTTAATAGCAGACCATTTTTTCAATTCAACACAAAGAATTAGTTTATTTTCTTAGTTTGTTATTTTATCATTTTAAAATACAAAACTTATGAATTATCATTAATCAAATAGATGTTAATAACAATTGGAACATAAGATAGAAGCTTCTAAAAAGAATTTTAAATTTTTTGCAATTTTGACATTTTTGTTTTTGTTTTTGTCTATTTAATGTCATAAATTTCGTTGCAATAAATAATTTACATAAAAAGTTGAACAGTTTTAGCAATTTGTATACTTAGTTGCATACATTCTTAGAGAATTTTGGGGGCCAGTCACAGGCTTGGCTTGCAAATCAGATCGCAGATCGCAGGAACAGTGACGAGTCCCACAACCGTGGTAGCGTCTTCAACAAACGGGACTGCTTCCCGGATCATTTCTTCGGCGTCAGCGTTTCGATTCACTTCCACTCCACCACCCCGTCTCTATGGCCGTGAGCTATGTATAAACTCATGAAGGACATTCTCCTCTTAAAGAATGAACAGAAAGTATGCAGCCAAAAACACAAGCACAGAATGCTTAAACTCAAGACAGCAAAACTTAACCGATCTACTTCTAACAGATGACGTTATCACCATTTCATGAGATTTGAATTCTGGCTTTTGTGAATTTCCCCGATCTTGCTGAAGCTCGTACTTAGGCAGAAAAATCGATCGCAGCAAGGGCATACGTTTTAACACCGAACTGGATCGCTCCAGTGCTTGGACGAGTATATAAGAATGTTCGCTGATATTTGTAAGTGTAGTGTCACTTAATTTATTTGTTTTCCCGAGTGATGAATTTTCTGAAGTATACACATTTCCCAGCCTTCTATTGGCTGATTTTTCGCTTAGCATCGTCGGCAGTCTTCTTAGCATCCTCGCTCACGTTGCTCGCACCCTTCTTCAGGGAGCTGGTGGCATCGCTAGCCTTGTCCTGCGCCTCATCGCCGCTGCCTTTGATCGCCTCTCCAGCGCTGTTTAGTTTGCTCTTGACGTTCCCGGCCGCATCCTCGAACGCCCCAGTAGCCTTATCCTGGATCAAATCCAACACCCATCACCTCGCGTCACAGAGAGGAAAACAAAGGAATGGGATTTCGACTAGACTTACTTTCCAACTCTCAGCGTCACCTTGTAGATCGGAGCTCTTGCCCTTTGCGTCTCTCTCAAAGTCCTTGCCCTTACTCTGGACGTCGTGCTTCGCGGAGCCAGCAGAGTCGGCCAAATCGTCGAACTTGCCCCTGGCACTGCTGGTTGCGTCCTCCGTCTTGTCCCTGGCGTCGCGGGAGGCCCCTGTGACGAAATCCGAGGTTTGATTAGCGGCATCCTTCACCTTGTCCCCGACTTGAGATGCAGTCTTCTTGACATCATCCACAATCCCCTGCGCGAGAAGAGAGGAATACAAGTTAGATTCGATCGAAAGATCATCGCATTGATCGATGGGAAAACAGAGGGAGAGTAAACTCACATCATCGGCCGCCCTGACGATGCAAACTCGAGATCTTTGCCTCAAGCTCAACTGTGGAAATCTGGCTGCTCCCGTGCTGACGCTCCCGCGGACAAAGCTGCTGTGACTCGGTGGTGCAACGCTGATGTTGCTCGCGGCTAGATTGCTCACGCTCGTCGTCATCGCCAATGCCATTGCGTGTAGGAAAAATTGCAAAAGATAAGACTGTGTAGTGATTCACGAAAGATGAGATGTGATCGCGAAAACTGGATGAATGAGAGTTGCGTTGGAACAGCGGGATATATAACAGCGTGAAATAAATTTCAGGAGAATTTAAAGCTATCGACACTTGGAAAATTTTACAGCAGGTTGTGGCGATGCCACACGTTGCCACGTCCAAAGCTGGCCATGCAAGAGACGCGTGTCTCTTGTTACATGAAAGTCTCGATTGAGATTTTAACGCATGTGAAAAAAATCAAATTTGACGTCAATATCAGGCATATTCTTTCGTACATTCTTCTAACCAATAGGTCGGAGGATCGAAACCCCTCATTGAAAATAAGACAGGTCGGGCGATCGAATCTTCTCTGCTGGAATGGATGGGCGACGCTTCGGCAATTCTCAAGCTGCTAGATTCTTGCCGGAGCGTCCCCACTCTCGGATCGATCGAGCCCTCACTCGATCTCTCCGGCAATACATTCCTCGCCAACAAGCTGATCGAGGTCTATGGCAAGCTCGGCAGCTCGCGGCACGCCCGCCGCGTCTTCGATTCGCTCAATAGCCGGGACCAGTTCTCGTGGGACTTCATGCTGCTCGCGCACACCAGGAATTTCGAGATCGCCGACGCCGCGGATCTCTTCCTCGCGATGCCCCGCAAGCGATTGATCTCGCACAACATCCTCCTCTCCGCCTACGCCCAGGCCGGCGCGATCGAGGAGGCCCGCCTCCTCTTCGATCGCATGGCGCAGCAGACGCTAATCTCCTGGAACTCCATGCTCGCGGCCTACGCCCACGCCGGGCACCTCGAGCGCGCCAAGAACACCTTCGATTCCATGCCCGAGAGGGATCTAATCTCCTGGAACACGCTCCTCTCCTCCATCGCCCAGCAGAGCGATCGCCCACACGACGCGATCGCTCTCTTCCACACGATGCCGCAGCACAATCTCCTCTCCTGGACCGCGATGCTCGTCGCGAATTCTCGCCAGGGATCGCTCGACACTGCAAGAGCAATGTTTGAATCGATGCCACAGCGCGATGTTGTGGTGTGGACGACGATGCTCGTGGCTTATGGCGAGATCGGCGATCTATCCAGCGCTCGCTGGTTCTTCGATCGAATGCCCGAGAGAGATCTAATCTCTTGCACAGCGATGCTAACAGCATATTCCCAAAACGGGCAAATAGATCAAGCCAAAGCACTGTTTAACTCGATGCCAAACATAAACATGGTTGCCATCACTGCGATGTTGGTTCTTAGCGGACAGACCGCATCTCTCGCGGATGCCGAGAGAATCTTTGACCGGGTCCCGGAGAAGACCCTAGTATCTTGGACTGCGATGCTCGCAGCATATGCCCAGCACGGGCATCTGGAGAACGCCAAGCAAATGTTTGATTCCATGCCTTTCCACAACACTATTGCCCACACCGCAATGCTCGACGGATATTCCCTGCGAGGGAATATGCTCGCGGCCGAGGAGATGTTTGATACCATGCTGGAGAAGAACACTGTCGCATGGACGTCTCTTCTCTCAGCAAATGCTCACAATGGAAACCTGCGAAGAGCCACGAAGGTTTTCTCGACAATGCCGGAGAGGAGTTGCAATACCTGGAGCGCGATGCTGGATGCTCTCACGTTTAAGGAGCGTTCTCTCCAAGTTTTTGATGTCTTCCACGGCATGAAAACGATGGATTCGCCTGTTGATGCGAGCTTCACGTCGGTTCTCATTGCCTGTAGCCGGGAAGGCAAAGTCTACCTGGGAAGATCCATCTTTGTGTCGATCAGGATGGACTTTGAGCTCCACCACCGCAGGCAGCACTACGGATGCATGGTCGATCTTCTCGGGCGCGCTGGATATCTCAACGAGGCGCTGGAGCTCATCAGGAGCATGCCTTTTGTTCCGGAAGTTTGGGAGTGGACGTCGTTTCTATCCTCTTGTCGCCACCATAACAATTTCGCACTGGGCGCTTATGCCGCGACGAATGTTCTCCGTTTGAATCCCAAAAGCAATGCCTTTGCGCTCCTGGCAGAAGCGTGTTCCAAGCACCACCAAAACTTTAGAGACTCTCCACTTTGAAAAAAAACAAGCTTACCAAGTTTTTCCTCGCAAAAGAAAGAAAAACTTTCGTTCTTTAAGACGCGGGCAGAGGATGGACGGTAATTTTCTCCTGGTATGTTCTTCCGCGCCTCTAGAAAGCCCGACGGAGAAGAAAGCTGACTGTTAGAAGTAAAAGGAAGCTCTCACGTGATTACCATTGATGAGCTATTGACTTTGATCGTTTTTTATACGCCGAGTCCAAGTGAAGAGCTGGTTCTTGCACGATCTTGATACAATAAGCTTTAGCCAGTTTGCCTGCACGATCAAATCGGCTATGATCGCAAGAACATTATAAAGAGGAGCTCCATACCTGAGTGAAGAGCAGTCAATGGATCGCCTACACTTCGCTTGGTGCTTGGTATTTTTCTTTCTCGCACAAGTTAGCAGTGCTTCATCTGATGTCTTCGATCCGATAGCAGTTCCTGATATGTGCAAAAATGCCAAATATGAAAAGCTGTGCCTAGAGTTAGTAGCGCAGAACCATACCAAGGATGCTCTAGTAAGGCAAGCAATGCTCCATGCCAAGGACGGGCTCCAAGAGCTGAGGCATTCCTGCAAGAACATGAGCAGCAGTTCAGATCACGGCGAGGGGAAAATGCATGCGGCTCTAAACGACTGCTCTGGGCTGCTCGAAGATGCGTCGGAGCTTGTACATGACTGTCTCTCTGAAGGCTACTATTTCTCTACGACGGCCAAGCTGGAGGACATCCAGACATGGATGAGTGCAGCACTTACAGATTGGGATACATGCATAGACGGCTTGAAAGACGCTGGAAGTAGCGGAAAATCTGCAGCACGCAGACTGGAAAAACAAGGAGCCGAAGTGAACACCATGATCAGTACAGCTCTTTCTCTAGTTGCTTCAATGTACCCACCTGGAACGCACCCAAGTCGGTCTTGGCTGAGAGGAAGAATTCTAGCAACAGCATCCACACCAGTTCCAAACGTCACCGTTGCAAAAGATGGAAGCGGCCAGTTTTCCAGCATCTCGGCCGCCATCGCAGCAGCACCTACACAATCAAGAACGAGGTACGTCATATACGTGAAACAGGGAACATACGTTGAGAGCTTCGAGGTTCCAAAGTCAAAGCCCAATCTAATGCTCCTCGGAGATGGAATCCGCAAGACAATCATCACAGGCAGCAAGAGCGTCCAGGATCCGGGAGTGACAACTTTCACCTCGGCAACAGTGAGTAAGTGATAGAACAAAAAACAAGTTCTAGCAAATCTAGAACTACGCATGAACTGACAGATCTTTTCAGTCGTGTCGGGAAACAATTTCCTGGGACAAGGGATCACAATCCAAAACACAGCAGGAGCAGTCAATCACCAAGCAGTAGCACTGCGAGTCACCGCAGACAAAGTAGCCTTCTACAAATGCTCCTTCGAGGGATTCCAGGACACACTCTACGCTCACTCTCTCAGGCAGTTCTACAGCCAATGCCGGATCTATGGCACGGTCGACTTCATCTTTGGAAACGCGGCAGCCGTGTTCCTCAACTCGGAGCTCGTCGCTCGAGTTCCAATGACCAACCAAAAAAACACTTTCACAGCACAGGGAAGAACTGACCCAAGCCAAAACACGGGGTTTTCGTTCCAGGGATGCACCGTGGATGGCAACGCGGACCTCAAGAGCGCGATCCAGAGCTTCCCAACGTACCTGGGCAGGCCGTGGAAGGAGTACTCGCTCACCGTCTTCCTCAAGTGCTACCAGGGGAACGTGATCAATCCCGCGGGATGGCTGGAGTGGGACGGAGATTTCGCCCTCAAGACGCTCTTCTACGGGGAGTACCAGAATCAGGGCCCCGGATCTGGAACATCGCGGCGCGTGTCGTGGTCGACGCAGATCACTAGCCAGGACCAAGCGAATCGATTCAGCGCTCGGAATTTTGTGGCCGGGCAGGAATGGCTGCCCCAGACGAGCTTCCCATTCCAGCTCGACGTGTAAGCCCTGGGTTCCTACTGTTTGAAAGTTTTTTTTTGGGCGGGAAAAGTTTAGGGTTCTTCAATTTCATTTTCTAATTGCCTTCCCACAGAGATTTGCCACGGTGGGACAACTGCCACTGGAAACTTTAGGATGAGGATTTGATAGTTCTCAGCAAGCCATCAGGATTGCTGGTCCAATACTACTGTCTATGCATTATGATGAAATTATTTTCTTTTCAGGGTGGAAGTGAGTCTAGTCTTCATGATGAGCTTGGCTCTTCAGTTCGAGTACAAAGAGCCTCCAAGACTGGTACTCTTTTTCTATGAAACGTACAATGATCTTGCTAACAATGTAGGCTCATCGTCTCGATGAGTCTTAGGCGGCACTGTGAAGATCCAGAGCTTCTTAATGCTCAAAAGACACATTTCTGTCCTAGGCAAAGACACTTTATTAAAGTTACATTCCACCGGAAATACCTAGCTCTAGTGATTGGCGCTCCCATTTCAGCTCCTCTTCTGAAGGTACTACGCTCTCGTTTGATTGCTCACAGATGTGAAAGTGTTGCACAGATGGTGCTGGAAGATGGAAAATCCGGGCTAACCCCAAGTCCCAAAACGCGACCCCAGAGTATCAGGTTTTGAAGCGTTGTGAGGGGACTCTTTTGCGATTGATTTTTTCGCTTGTAATGACCTTCTTTCCCTGTACAGGGCTACAACTACGTCCACATTCATCCAGCTCCGACGTGCACTGTGCCTTGGAACACGGTGGACCCCAAGACATCAAAGCGAGGGACATCTCCACACAAGGGAGCTTCCCATCTCCCGCCTGCGGAAGAAACCAGGCGCAGTGGACTTCGGCCTGGACCCCGAGCGGATGCTGAAACTTGTTAGTTAACTCTCTCGAGGTTGATCAGCACAGGCGTGCGGCGGAAGTATCTGTTCGTGACCAGAAGCCCAATGTGGTGGAGGTGGTCCCTTTCCAGCTCCTGTACCATTTCCTGATCCTCTCCTGGCCAGTTACCCGAACTTTAACACCACGAAGGCTAAGCGCCTCTCCCACTTTGTGTCGCTCATCTGAGAATACCACCAGCCTCTTGTAACTTCGAAATAGCTGCTTCCAATATGCTCCACCTTTACCTCCTCGTCGATCGCCACCTGGTGGAGCTGGCACACACCTTCCAGCGTTACCCTTGCCGGCTCTATCTGCTTGCAGCCTGCAGGTACAGGAGGAGAGTGCACAGAAATAATTGCATCCTGATGCCGATACAGAACAGCCTTCACCTGCGAAAAGCAAAGTGGATTTAAAACACGGTGAGAGAGCTGAAATTTAAAGTTGGCATGACCATACCTTATGAGCAGGCAGCTTCTCAACCTCCACAACGAGCACCCGGCGCACGTCTCCCACCTCCATGCTCAGGAAGGAGCTGGGTGTCCCAACCAGAACATCACAACACTTACAGCCCATATCCCGAAGGAACGTCCATGAGTTTTATGAGCTGTGCAACCCTGTGCTCTGGAGCCAGCAGTAATGCCGAAGAATCGGTTGCGTCTTTGTTCTGGACAAGGCATGGTACACATGCCAGCACTCCAGATCAATCCTCGAACACAACCATCATCATGTCACTGAGGTCCCCTGCCTTCCACGCAAAGTTATAAAGCCACGAAGAGTTCACGGCCTGGTTAAGCCACCAGCCCACATGGACGGTGAGTTTCTTGCCGTCTTACACGAGCATCTGTCTGAGCTGCGTTATAAACCCGTTCTAATCTTTCAAGTGTTTTTGCAGAAGCTGCAGCTTGTCCTGGATTGAGTGATATTATCTTCTGAACCGAAGAAACGGGAGCGGACGGAATGTGTATATGACCAGCGCAGCAAAGGTGCAGCCAAACATTAGGCCTGATAACGCAAACTCACAAGCTTCCTCTTGGGTCGCCAACACAATGTCTAGACCATGTATCATCCACTCGTGGTGCTTAACGTTAGGCGAGGATACCAGTCACGTGTGGACATTCGAAGGTTTTGAACAGTGGATCCCGTGATAACAAGCACCTTGGTCATGCCAAAAAACCGCAGCAGCTCCAGGCTCCTGAGAACAAACGGAGTGTTCCCAATATTAGCTGCAAGCACAAATGCAGAGCATATTCTTAGCAAAAATCGATCGATCTTATTTGACATACCGCTGATGTACTTCTACACAGTACAAATACTCACGACAGGAACCCGCACCAAGCTTGCAGAATCTGGCGACTAGTGAAGCAATCGGTGAAGACTGCATCATCGCCGCAGGCTCTGTGCAGAGAAGCAGGACCCGCCATCGCGCTCCTGATGAAAAACGCTGGATCGAGCTGCTGTGTTAGGTTGGTGGAGTCCGCACTTCCGTTCTTTGCAATGCACTGTGCCCCACGGACTTTCGGCTGCCTTGATGAACACAAATGATGCTTGAGCCATGCCCCCATCATTGATGGTATTCGGGTAGCACAGCGACAAACAATTCGGAAGTACACATTTACTAACAAGATGTCTCGAAGTCTCGGACTTCTGCTGCCAGATTCGATCTGTCTTACTGTTTTTCTTGCAGGTTGTGGTGACCGACATGTAAGAGAATCATCTGAAACACACCATCTTATTACCAGTGTTGCATTTCCAGCCCAGCTTATTCAGCATGGACGGAGATTTTGGGCATTGATTGTCCAACTCAGGGACAGATGTAGCTTTCTTCCGGTTTTAGAGGATGATAATCGCTGGCAGCAGTATAATGAATGCTTTGAGCTCGGATCTCTTCACGTTTGCCTCGCCCCTCCCGGTGCTGGCGAATCCAACAATCAGTCCCATGAAGATCGTCTGCCATGCAGAGACAAGAAAGAATGCGTAAATTGGCTTCTCACGTTCCAAGAGCTACATTGGATGGATTCGCAGCGTACCTGGCTACGCCATACTTGCGATGTTGGCGAGCCACAGCCACTCCCAACATTCACACTCGTAGCCGCACAGCCCATGTCGTGCTCTTGGTCTTATGTTTATAATTTATAAGCACAAGATTAACTCCTTTTTCTTTTTTTGGATTCTCTAGAATATTCTTAAGAACTGTGAATCACGTTATTGCCCATTGCCAGCGGTCTTGGTAAACGAAAGTCAAAGAAGGTGGTGAGGAGGTTTCGATCCTCCGACCCGTGGGTCACGCGAGAGAGAGTGCGATGGATGATCCAGCAAATGAAGTGCCGCTGATGATCAAGGGGCTTGTCGGGCAGCCATCGCTTGCACAGCAGCGCCAAATCCTCCACCGCTACTCTGGCCCGGGTTGCAAGTTCTACAACATTTACATCAACATGCGCGGCCTGGAGTCGCTAAAACCATGTTCAACTATCCATTTAATATTTTGAAGCAGGTTTTTGGTTGAGATGTTTTCAGGGGTAATCTCATGTTTATAATTGAGGTGCCTTGCAAAGTTGTTGGTTACATTCCTCTGATCTAGCAAAATAATATTAACAAACTTAATAAGAAGATGGAGCCAAGCAATACAGAAACTGGTCGCTGTCTTCCTCGCTCACATCCATTATATACCACTGGCGGCTAACCTGGTCAAATGCAAGGATTGCCCGGTCCATAAGGATAGCCATGTACTTGCACCCTTTGGCATGAGCAGGATAAATGGATCCCACGTAATTATCCAGGTTGCTGCAGTCGGATTTGCGATACATTGGGCCGAAAGGAAGCCATTTCATCAGCTGACTGTCCCACTGGTAAATCTCAACCTGATCATCCACAAGCGGTACAGCATAGTCCCCAGAATACACAACCAGGAGCATGAGCTCGTTGTAGAAGCCTTTGAAGCACCGGCAAATGCCATTGGGAAAACCCCAATTCTCGTACGTGATTCCCTCAGGCTTTGTGAAACCGGGGTGTTGATACAGCTTATCTTCTGCAAAGTCGTATACATCTCCCAGCTGAGTTGCGACGCGGTTGTCTACATGGTACGCGGCTTCCCAGCCCCCTTTTTCTATACGCTCCACACGGTCGCATGAATCCATCTCCCTCTCCACGTTGCAGCTCTGAACCCAGACGTTGCTCTTTGAAGTGTACATAAACTTGTCAACCAGGAGCGTAAACTCCCCAGCCTCTGGAGCGTCCGCAATCAGATAAACATGCAACTAGAACCGAACCGTCCCATCCTTGTACCAGTTGTAGCCAGGATGCCAAGGGATGGGTGCCCAAATCCCAGTCAAGGGGCTCCCAACAAGCCCCTGCTTCAAATCGAAATTCTCCACGTACATGAGGTTGGAGTCTGTGGCCATGATTTCGAAACCCTCCTCGATCCTGACGGGCCTCAACTCTTGTTTGTGAGGCACCCACGCTTGCAATTCACCTGAGATCGGCACCAGCACTAGAGACTCGCCCGCAAGAGCCCTGGCCATGTTAGTAAAAGGAAACTAAGGGTGCTCTTTAATATACGATATTTTAGGGTATAAAAAGGGTCAGTTAGATTTATCAGAGGGAGGTTTCGATCCTCCGACCTGTGGGTTATGGGCCCACCACGCTTCCGCTGCGCCACTCTGATCTTTACATAAAAAAATAATTAAATATCATTAACTACCTTTTTCCTTTTTCATTTTTTTCCATGCTATCTGGCAAATTCTCAGAGAGAGAGAGAGAGAGAGTGGTGTGTGTGTGTGTGAGAGAGAGAGAGAGAGAGTGTGGCGATGGAGAATCCAGCAAAGGAAGTGCCGAAGGTGATCGAGGGGCTCGTCGGGCGGCCATCGCTCGCGCAGCAGCGCCAAATCCTCCACCGCTACTTCGCCCCGGATTGCGAGTTCTACCACATTTACATCAACACGCGCGGCCTGGAGGATCTCTCGTCCATCTACCAGTTCGCCGAGACCATGTTCAACTACCAGGGCGTCAAGTTCCACACCGTCGCCTACGACGCCGCGCAGGAGGTGGTGGCGGTGCGCATGACGGTGCGCATCTGCCCATGGATCCGCCTTGGCACGCCCGTGGATCTCGAGTTCTTCACGATGCTCGAGCTGGAGAAGTTCCAGGACGAGGTATTGGATTCTTCGGTTTCTCGAGAGTGCTGGAACTATTTTCTTCTTGTTCTTCTTGCAGGATGGAAGGGAGCTCAAACGCATCAAGGTGCAGCGAGATTTCTTCCAGCGATCGCCTCTGCTTCAAGCCATCCCCTTCCTCGGAGAGATCTACTCGTGGAATTTGTGGAGGGATCTCCTCGGCCGCGTGGACGCTGCCTTTTTCCGTCTCGTCCAGAGATTGGTGGCATGGGTCTAAAGTCTTGCATAGCATGTACGAGAATGGAAGTGAAAGCAAATAAAAAAAATCTTCCTTTCTTATGATTTTTTTTTTTTTTTTGCCTGTTCTTCGTGAGCTCCCACCATCACCAGAGCTTTTCGGCGATTTGCACGGCGTTGAGAGCTGCTCCTTTGCGTATTTGATCGCCGCACACGAAGATGTCTAGCCTGATAGAAAATGCGAGCGTTTTCCTGGGTGAAATCCACAGTGCAAACGGAAAAAATAAAATGTGCTCACCCGTGGTGGCCATCTTGAGAGAGATCGCGCCGTATCCTTCCCACAGCAACATCATTCGTGCTCGACACCTGGGGTTCAAGAAAGTGA